TGAGAGGGATTATGGATGGGACATTGCTGACAGCCTCTAGTAGCTGAGTGTGGCTCCTTCCTGACAACCAGCCAGGAGAATGGGCCCTCGATCTTACAGCTGCAAGGAAATGAATTCTGCCAACAATGTAAATCAACTTGGGAATACCTTCTCCCTTAACTGAGCCTCTAGATGAGAATATAGCCAAGCCAACATCTTGACTGCAGCCATGTGAGACCCTGAGCAGAAGACCCAGATAAGCTCAGCTTGGACTCTCAGCCCATAAAAACTGTGAGATAATAACTATATATTGTTTTTAAGTTGATAAGCTTGTGGTAACTTATGATGCAAAAACAACAAAGTGATACAATCTATTTCTCTTCATTCATTCAAAAAATTATTGCACATCTGCTCAGCACTAGGTGAGTTCTAGGTACAGGTGACATAGCAGTGAGGTTGAGGATTTCACTGATTTAGAGGGTCTCGGTCAAAACCCTCAACCACTGTTCCCTTTATTTAATGGAAAATGTCTTAATGACAGGTAGGTCAGTTGTGTGCACTGAGGTGCTGATTAAGTCAAGTTAACACTGGCCTATGGTAGGATATAGGGGCTTGATTAGAAGTCTTTGTAGCTGGAATTATCTTGGGCCCCAAGGTGAATGGCACCTCTACTTCCTCTCACCTTGAAATGGTCTCAATACCAAGAAATTACCAATTTCTATCATAGACTTCTGAAGTCAGGGTCAGATAAAAGTAGCCCCAAATGCCAGGCTGGGGACAGTTTATGTCAGAATCACCTGAAGAAAGATTTGAAAGTGCTGAATCCTGAGCTCCACACCCAGGTATTCTGTGTCAGCATACCTGGAGTGGAGCTCAAGAATTCCCAGTATGAAGAACTCCTCAGGTGATTATGATAGAAACTGTTGTGTCACAGAAGATTTTTCATATGTGGTATCCCATAAGCATGTTGGCAGAAAGGGTTACTCATGGGTTTGTTTATAATGTTTGGTCATATGACTTATTGTGAAAGAAGGTTGACTATTGGCCCCAAGGAAGTATTCTGAAATATTCCAATGAGACAGAGTGAGTGACCTGAGTGTAGAGCTCTATGTATCACCTGTGGCTCCTTTTTAAAATAAACAAGGTTTGTCCTCTTGCCTTTCTACTAGACTAGAGGCAGTTTAAAGAAAGAAGAAAAGGTCTTCCTGTTCAAGGCATATCTGATAAATTTGCTCTTGATGAGTGACTGATCTCTCCAGGTTTTGCACAGGTCTACTCACCAAGGTTGTCTCACCATCTCTTATTCCTAGGCTCCTGAAATAATACTTTAAGCTTTTGTGCTAATTTTTGGTTTCATACAAGTGTAGGGTGAGGGTCAAACTAACTGTAAATACATTTAAATTTTACCATGGAGTCATAGAATAATAATAATAAACTATGCATATGCAATTATTTAGTTTTAATTAGTCATGCTTTTTCTATCAAATTCATGGATCTTATAGGTAAGCCATTTTAAGTCATTAAACAATTTACACATATGTACTCAAAATTCTACACATATACACCTCTGCCATAACATAGATACCTACACAGAAAATGATTCCTCCCTTACAGACTCAATGAACTTCAAAGTATGTTGGCTGGAACATTGTTTAGTACAAGCCCATGATTTGTAGAGGAAGAAGAGCATGTTGGGATGACCTTCCAAAATTCCACAATCAGGTAGTGGAAAATCTAGACTAAAGCTCCTTTCCTGAGAATTCTATTTCTTTAGTTGAGGTCACATCACAGCCCAATATCACAATCATGAATATATGCATAGACTGTGTTTTGTGAAGTGATGTCATAAAATGATTCATTGTAAACAATCTGTCCAAGGAAATCACTGTTTCGCATGCGTGTTCATTACAGCTCATCGTCCAACTACTCGTGTAAAATATTTCCATAATGTTTGTGCTCTAGGATGAGAGCAGGAGATAAGAGACTCAGGAGCTTTAAGAAATGATGTAAACAGCCCTGGCTGGTGTAGCTCAGTGGAATGAGCGCAGGTCTGCGAACCATAGGATCGCCGTTCAATTCCCAGTCAGGGCACATGCCTGGGTTGCAAGCAAGTTCTCTGCAGGCCAGTTCCCAGCAGGGGACGCACTAGAGGCAACCATACATTGATGTTTCCCTCTTTCCTTCCCTTCCCCTCTAAAGATAAATAAATAAATAAATAAATAAATAAATATTAAAAAAGAAAGAAATGATGTAAACATGAGAATAGAAGAACACACCTACACAGAAAAGATATATGTACTAGTCAATACATCTCTTCCTTCCAGCTAGAAAGTTCTATGTCAAGGAATGAAAGAAAGTTTTTGGTAGAGTTGAGAAGCACTTATGGAGAACAAGAGGGTCAGACAGGAGAACAGTTACTGAAGAAGAGTGTAGAACTCCTTTCTTTAGGGAATTTGGCCCTTTTCTCCTCTTTCACTTCCACCATTCATAGAGGATGTTGGAACTATTGATGTATTAGGACTTTTCACAACTAACAATGTTTTAATTACTCTTAGTCAAATGTAGTAATTATAGACAGAAAATTAATATATTTTAGGAATGCATATGTTGTTATAGGGATCAAGTGAGGGTCAGGATCTTATATGAAAATCAGGAGGAGATAGAATCTGGAGCTGAACTCTACCACAAGCTGTTTCCCAGTGAAGGGTTGAGGAAGTTAATTTCTAGCACAGCAGCCAAATTAATCTCAGGTGACATCCGTGTACTATTTAAATACTTCATTTGATTCTGAATTAGAAACTCCTCTTTACCCAGAGCTCCTCAGCCCTGAAGGGTCTGAATCTCATCACCTCCATTATTGATGTTCATGGTTATTAATGCTCTAGTACTACTAGTCTAGGCTTTTATCTTCCCAAAATGCTAAAACTGCATCTATGTTAGGGATTCCGAACATCCTCCTCATTCTCCTTCTGCTCACTGCATGACCAGCTGCTTTTCATCTTGTTCAGATTTTGTTCCCCTCCACAGGTCTTTCTTGCCTCCTGTCTGCTGTCACTTCCCCAACACACCCAAATTATTGCCATCACATGGCACTGTCTTACTTTTTCCTGACAGTTATCACTAGGAAAAATAACCTTACATGTTTAGCACTTAACCCCAGGAGAGTGTGGCACCATGAGAGAAGAAACCTATCTTTGTTCAGTTTGCATTATTAGTACCTATAATAGTGCCTGGAAGGAAAAACATGCTCAATAGTCCTGGATGAATGAAGAAATGACTGAGGGAAATAATGAAAATACAAAGTGGAGAGAGCTTTGGACAAGTGGGAAGTTGATTACCCCTCTTCTGAGGTGTGGAAGATGCTGCTCCTAGATCCTAGACTGGGAAAAGTCATATGAACTGATGACAGAAGTGATCATGTCCTTCACAAGATAGTGATTCCGCCTTTGCTGTGTTCAGCCTCCTCCTGCTGTTCTGTGTCTAAATGAAGAATGGACATACTTATGCCAGGACTTATTTTACCTAAAGTCAAGGGATTCTGTTGAGCACAGCAATTTTCCAAACCCAGGGTTCTTGTGCAATAGCTTCAGGCTGCAAAACATACCTGGAGGTGCAAAACCACCATTGAGTTCTCTGAGAAAATGCACAAATGCAGCTGCTGCTTGTAGTACTAATAAGAGCAAGCAGTAACCATAGTGGAGTAGTGCTTGCAATGGAAACATTCTCTGCGAGGGCCTTGAAAAGAGAGGTTAGAACTCCCAGTGCCAAGAGCAGAAGTGTAGATTTGATGACTTGCCACATCTGCTCTACCCAAGTCAGACACTCCAAAAAAAAATACCCGCCCCCCCACACTTTCACCAAAACAATCACCTGAATGCTGCTGGTGACCACAGTTTCTCGGGGCCTTTTCCTTTCTGATTCTTATTGAGCCCTGAGTGCAGCCTTGAGAAGGAGGCAGCAGGGGATCTCCATATCCAGCCTTTGTCTCCATGGATCTATAATCCCCTAATGCTGGAGCCTGGATCCTGACCTGAGTGTAAAGGAGCTACTGATTCCCAGTTGGGGACAGCAGTGGAGGCCAGAATGGGCAAGAGTGGCCTCACCCTGGTGAGACATGTCAATATTGGGCCTTCTCCCTGCCCTTCCATGCAACATGGGACAAGATGGCCCTTTACCAGGATACAGAAATTGCCAGGGAAGACTTCCTCTCTTCTCCAGGCAGCACTAGAACCTACCCATGAGCTACTTGAACGAGTGATGTCATTCCATATTTGCCTTCCTTCCTGGACTCATCCCTAGTAAAACCACTAATACCTGTAGAATTGATATACTCACATACAGAAAAACTGTCTTTGAGGTTATAGTTTCTTTTTTTCCTGTTTTTGTCTCATTAAATATGGCAAATTTTTACTATTAAAAAAGATTTTATTTATTTATTTTTTAGAGAGGGGAAGGGAGGGAGAAAGAAAGGGAGAGACACATAAATGTGTGGTTGCCTCTCACACACCACCCCACTGGAGACTTGGCCCACATCCCATACATGTGCCCTGACTGGGAATCGAACCACTGAGCCTTTGGTTCCCAGGCCAGAGCTCAGTCCACTGAGCTACATGATCCACAGCTCCACTTTTTTTTTAACAACAAAAGTTTACATATATATGAAAATTTTATTATTCATTAGCCAGAGAGAATCAAAGACATTTGCTTCCCACTCACTCAGCTGGGCCATTTACCTCTTGAGGTGTAAATATGCAGATCAGTTGATGATTCAGGTTTTCAATTTGAGGAAGAGAGAGAGACTGAGAGAAAAGCCTGAGTTGCTTTGTTTCACAAGAATCCTGTTATCCTCGTGTCTCTCTATTTTCCTCAAATCCCCTATTAGAGGAAGAAAAAAATGATCTGGATGAGATGTGTGTACATGACTGCAGAGGGGCACAAACAGACACGCACAGACGTGTAGATGATTCTGCAAAGAACTTTATTGCAGGTGCATAGGAGCTTCAGCTCAGCAGGGAGGAAAAGGGGTTGTGAGCTGATGGTGAGGGCTGATGCTGATATCCAGGATGGATGGTGGTCTGGGACCATGGCTGTGACCGCAGGGCTGGCTTAGAAGCTTGGCACAGAGGGCTGACCCAGGTTTAGTAGAATCTATCAAAGTGAACTGGAACATTTGTCGTGTCACAGGCAATGCTGTAGTTCTTCACCATGGAATATTGCTGGTAATGGCACTGCAAGTAAGTTGGAGCCTGTCCTGTGGCATTGCAGTAGGTAACATTCACTGCATCTGAGCTCCTATGACAATTATGGCCTTGTCTAAAACAGGGTATATTATGGGTACGACAAAGATTAGCTACAACAGGTAATGTAGTCTTGAGAAAAGTATTTTCGTTTTTGCATATCCTTGGAGGAAGATTATAGCGGTTAATGGCCCGCATTGCGAGGTCGCATAGATTGCTGGTCATATTAATGTGCTGAATTACAAACCACTGAGCTGGGGTTATACCAGGAGGTGGGGCATGGACCCAGATTGTCATTCCCAAGAGCCCCAGCAGCAGGAGACAAAGTTGGGATTTCCGCTGTGTTGGAACCATGTTTCCTGTAAAAAGAGAAGAATATCCTGCTTCCCTGCCCCATAAGTGACAACCCTCTCATCTCTCCCCTTGCAGGGGCCCTGCTATAACTGAGGTTCTATGTCCTTCCCCTTCAGTTGCCCCAAATATGTCTTGTGTTTTGGGCACTAATTCAGCTCAGTTCTCCAACAGTTTTTGTCCCATTGGGGCCCTCCTTTCCCAGGTCAGGGGGCTCATTGTCTTACCCAGTTTCTGCTGTGGCTGCTCTGAGAACAGATCCAGCTGGTCGTCCTGGGGTTCAGGGGCAGCTGGTCTCCCCTGTCCTCTGGACTGGAGATAAAGAGCAGCTTCTGTGGGTGGGGCTTGCAGAGCAAGGAGGGGTCTGAGTATAAGATGTGAAGAAACCCACAGATTGGCACATGGCCCAGTTGTGCAATGAGCCTCTTGTTTTATCCATTGCTGATCAATACATATCCAAGGACAGCTGGCTGCTACTTATGTGGTTCAACTCTAATTGCTGGCATCCCACCCAGGACAGAACTCTGCCTGTGGGTCTGGTTTCTGTCAATGAAAACCACACATTGGCTGTGGAATGGCCTTTGGTTTTATAACTGAACTTGGGACAGACACTGAGGGACAGAAAGACAGGCCTATTTCTCAGAACAAATAGAGCCAGGAAGGCTGTCGGCACTAGAATCCCAGGGCCCCCTCACTTGCATGATCTCCCTGGTTCCATCCACCTCAGCCCAAAGGTCCCCTTCTCAGCACCTCCCTGTGCTGCCAGCCTGAGCTCTGAGTTTCTTGCTGCTTAAAATTCTGAAGGTATGTAGTAGTTTCTGACATATCTTTGAGGTTTGGTTTTATTGGCTCCTCCTTTTTTGGATTCGCTTTGACTTGTTTTAACACTGGCTTGATTTTTGTTCACTTTCTGTGAAATAGTATAACTTGAAAACACCCAGGGAAGAGCCATTGTGGACACTGCCACAGAGTAACCATGTGGTGTCATTTAAAAGGAAATGTGGAGAGAGGGGACAGATATCCCAGTGGGGCAGGCCTCCTACAAAGAGATGTTAAATTTTGGTCCAACTTCTAGGTCAGAAACTTGGAAGTAAGACCTTTCAATGCTAACATATAACATCCCCCCCAAAATAAGTGACATCATTTTTCACTACCTTTCCATAATCCTGTTGTGTGGAAATGCCGTTATTTCACTCTTGATGTTCTCATGTCACCATGGGCACAGTGGTGACCTGCTCAGGACCCAGTGCAGAGCACAGGGAGTCTGCCTTACTATCCCATTCTTGTTCAGATTCAGGAATATCTCTCTTTTGTTATTAAGTGAGTTTTTGTAGTGAATTCTTTGTGGAAGGCATTTTTATAAGGGATGAGGACATAAAAGTGCATTAATATAGTGTCACCCCTTCATGTTGCCACTTCAGGCAGAAAGACCTGTACTCAAGTGTCTATTTTATGAGATGAAAGATATATTCTGCAGACACCTGAGGTGCATCTGGTCACAAACCTCTTCTGATCAGCATATACAGTATGACTTACAATATTGGGTTTTTGATGTTATCTTTTCAAATTGGGATAGTTCCCATAAAATTTGCATTTCTGTCTTATTTTTAAACATCAGGAAATGTTGATTGGTACACTGAGTATCATTACCATAAGGAATCAATTGGAGCTGAGTCAGCGACTTCCCCTGTTGAAGGGGGCAATTGTTCAGGGGTCTCTTCCCCTGGCCCTGCTCCTCCCTACTGATTCGCGTCCTATCTGTTCACTCAGAGATGGAACTGCCTGGCTCCTGCAGACAATGTGTTTATGACCTCTCAGCCTTGTTACTGAGGAGCAGCTCACATAATACCTGCCCAACTTGCAACCTTGCTTATCCTTTAATAAGTGCATTCAGAGCACGTGTGCTAAGATTTTTCTGAATGTTTCCTCCATAGATTTCCTCTATGTGTTTTCAGCTGCCCTTCTGTGCCCCCAGGACTGGCACAAATGATCTAATTTGACACTTAAGATGTTTTAGAGAGGACTTTTTTATATAAAACAGGAATAAATATGTGCCTATGTGAATTTAAATACACTGCAACTTGGTGTAATTTTGCCTCTTCTAGATCAAAGAAACTTCATGGGCTCTCTAGTCCTGCTTTCTTTTTTTTTTTTTTTTAAGATTTTATTTATTTATCTTTAGAGGGGAAGGGAAGGAGAGAGGGAGAGAAACATCAATGTATGGTTGCCTTTTGTGTGTCACCTGCTGGGAACTGGCCTGCAGGGAACCAGCCTGCAACCCAGGCATGTGCCCTGACTGGGAATCGAATCGCAATTGTCTGGTTCGCAGGCCCACGCTCAATCCACTGAGCTACACCAGCCAGGGCTATTCCTGCTTTTTATAATACAACCTTCTGTGCAGGCCAACTTAGTGCACACTTTTGGACAGGATCCCTATTTGTGAACAGGATCCATATTTCCATTGAGATGAATAGCCAGAATTATACCCCGATATTGTCAAATCACTTGGTGAAATCTAGGAACATTTTAAAATATTGTTCCACAAAAAGACTTCCACATTTGTGGTAAAAACCAGTGTTGAGTAAATGGACCTTGGCATTTGTCAATATCTTTTTGAAAAAGGGCCCATGTACAACAGTGTGATTAATGTTCATTGTTTGCAATTTTTCAGCCCTTGGTACTCTTGCAATGTCTGCCCTTAACCTGCTGATAGAGCGATGCTGTCAACACCTTCCTGCACATGGCTTTCCTAGTGCTGGAACTTCTAGCTTGCTTCTCTACATTTCATTTACCCCCTTTTTTTTCAGAGATTCTTCTTATTCTTTTATTTGGGGCCTGTTTCTTTGTCTGCCAATTTCAGCTGTCTTTCTGTATTTGTTTTTATGTGTTAGTAGATCTGCTATACTTCCAGTCTTAGTGGGGCAGCCTTATGTAATAGTTGACCCAGTGGAGTGGTCTCCTTGATAACCTGATCTGGGTGCTCTGGTAATGTCTCTTACATGGGTTGTGTGGTCTCTTCTGGTGTAACTGAGTCTTTTACTTTATGAAATAATTTTTTTAAAGATTTTATTTATTTATCTTTAGAGGGGAAGGAGAGAGGGAGAGAAACATCAATGTATGGTTGCCTTTCATGCATCCCCTGCTGGGAACTGGCCTGCAGGGAACCGGCCTGCAACCCGGGTATGTGCCCTGACTGGGAATCGAACCGCGATTATCTGGTTCGCAGGCCCGTGCTCAATCCACTGAGCTACACCAGCCAGGGCTATGAAATAATTTTTAATTGTATTTTTTCAATACCCTGTAGCCCCCTTAAACCTCCCTCCCCCTGCTATCACCACACTGCCATCCATTTCCACGAGTCCTTTTTCTTTTTTGCCCAATACCTTTCCCTCACCTCCCCCCTTAGCTGTCATCCTGCTATGTATGAATCTGTCTATTCTGCTTGTTAGTTCCGTTTGTTCATTAGATTCCACATATGAGTGAAATCAGTTAGTATTTGTCTTTCACTGCCTCGCTTATTTCACTTAGCATAGCATTCTCTAGGTCCACCCTAGAGAATACTGTCACAAAAGACAAAGGTTTCTTGTTTTTTACAACTGAGTAGTCCATTGTGTCAATATCCCATAGTTGTTTTATCTACTCATCTATGATGGACACTTGGGCTGCTTCCATATCTTGATGGTTGTAAATAATGCTGCAATGAACATAGGGGTGCTTATGTCCTTTGGAGCTGGTGTTTTGGTTTCCTTTGGCTGTATTCCCAGAAGTAAAGTTGCTGGGCCAAAAGGCAGATCCATTTTTAATTTTTTGAGGTATCTCCATACTGCTTTCCACAGTGGCTGCACCAATCTGCATTCCCACCAACAGTGCAGAAGTGTTCCTCTTTCTCCACATCCTTGCCAGCGGTTGTTTTTTGACTTATTGATGACAGCCATTCTGACACATGTGAGATGGTGTCTCATTGTGTTTTTAATTTGCATCTCTCTGATGATTACTGATGTTGAACAACCTTCCATATGTCTATTGGACATGTGTATGTCATCTTTAAAGAAGTGTCTATTCAGGTCATTTTTCCCATATTTCAGTTTGGCTGTTTGTTAAGTTCTTTAAAAAGTTTAGTTATTAAGTCCTTATCTGAGAAAATTAAAATGAGAAAGTAAAGGTTTTAGGTGCTGTGCACCACTAGGTCTTTGGTTCTTTAGGTAAACCAAGCCATCATATATAAAGAGCTAAATTTTGCTTCTAACTATTTAATTTTTTGTAATTGTTTTAGTGCAAGGGGAGATAAAGTGCCTTCCAGATAAGGTCGAGTTAAAGAAGTTCATCATCACCAAGCCATTTAAAAACATTTTATTTTAATTGTTGTTCAAGTACAGTTTTCTGTCTTTTATTCCCATCTCAGCCCACCCACCCCTCCCTCCCCTCTTCCCCCCCCATTTTCATCCCCCTAGTTTTTGTTCATGTGTCCTTTATATTTGTTCCTGTAAACCCTACCCCTTTCCCCCTGAAATTCCCTCTCCTCTTTCCTCTGGTCACTGTTAGCCTGTTCTCTATTTCAGTGTCTTTGGTTATATTTTGCTTATTTATTTGTTTTGTTGTTTAGCTTCCTGTTAAAGGTGAGATCATATCGTATTTGTATTTCAACACCTGGCCTATTTCACTCAGCATAATGCTTTCCAGTTTCATCTGTGCTGTTGCAAAGGGTAGGAACTCTTTCTTTCTGCTGCTTAGAATTCCATTGTGTAAATGTACCATACTTTTTTAAAAAAGATTTTATTTATTTATCTTTAGAGGGGAAAGGAAGGAGATATGGAGAGAAATATCAGTGTATGGTTGCCTCGCACGTGTCCCCTGCAACCCAGGCATGTGCCCTGACTGGGGACTGAACCTCGATACTCTGGTTCACAGGCCTGTGCTCAATCCACTGAGCTACACCAGCCAGGGTGTAGCATATTTTTTTGATCCATTTATTTACTGATGGGCATATAGGTTGCTTCCAACACTTGGCTATTGTAAATTGTGCTGCTATGAACATTGGGGTGCATAGGTTCTTTTGGATTGGTATTTCAGGGTTCTTAGGATATAATCCTAGCAATGGAATTGCTGGGTCAAAAGGCAGACCCATTTTTAGATTTCTGAGAAAATTCCATATTGTTTTCCATAGTGGTTGTACCAGTCTGCAATCCCACCAACAACCCCTTTTCTCCACATCCTCTCCAACACTTGTTGTTTGTTGCTTTGTTTATGATGTCCATTCTGACTGGTGTGAAGTGGTATC